AAAATCAAACAAAGTCAAAAACGAACCAGAAACCATGGAGACATCTGGGGAAAACAATCATGGGGAAGACTCTAAGAGATGGTGTTGGAGGAAGTTAGACGAGGAACCAGCACTGAAGAACTGCACAGAGATAGCATTTATGGGAGAGTGAAACAAAGAGAGGACTATCGAGAAGATTGGGAGCAGGTGTGAAACAGAGAAGACCAGGAAAGGAGCTAGGGAAAAAGGAGAACACAAGAGGGCAGTAGAGGGCAACAAATAAAAACCTGAAAACTGAAAATAACCAGAAAACACAACAAACAAGAATTAAACCACTTTATCTAGAAAACAATGAGCAAAGTAAAACTGAATACTCAAAAGAAAACATAACAGAACCAAAACTATGACACCACCACCTCCAGAGGATATGTCTGGAGGTGGTTTCAGCTGTACTTCCTATCCGTGACCACTGTTTGGGACGCCATTGTCCCGCATTGGGGGACAAATCACAAAGACAACAAAGGGTTAGGTTAGACGGCATTCCCAGACAGGAGCAACAAGAAATCAGTGCAACAAAACTGGCAGAAAAAAAAAAAAAACAGCCATGGCACCCTCTTAAACTACAGGCTGGAGCTACAGCTGACTAAGGCTAGTTACAGAAGCTGGAGGAACATATGAGAACAGCAGCAGATTGGATATGTCCACCAGGCAGACAGATCACTGAGGGCGGATTAGAGACTTTCGCTGCCCGGGAGTAGGACAGTGGTACATCGTTGAAGCCAGCCAGGGAGGCAGAGCTAGGAGAGGCTATGAGTGGCTGGAGCTAGGGAGATGAAAGGAGTACCAGGGAGTCTCAGTAAAGCTTGCCTGGGGAGATACCGGCGGAGCTGTGGAAGGAAGGAATCTGGCTACCCTTGAGTTAAGGCAACTGATTAAAAACATCCATCCATCCATCCATCCATCCATCCATCCATCCATCCATCCATCCATCCATCCATCCATCCATCCATCCATCATGCGCAAATATACGTCACACAGCGTATATATTTAAATTTGTTTAAATATTTGATTTACTCTGTACTTAACTATGCACTCCAGCAGTACTGATCCCACAATGGATTAATTTGCTACCTTTCGTGACCTGCAGTTTTTCATAATATATTCCCAGACTGCTCTTAGCATGTCTGATGATGACGTCAAGCGATACAATGGATTGAATTTAAAAGCATCCATTTCTTCCAGAAAAGTCTTCAATATTGTCTTTACGATGTAGTTTAGTATTCTTTAATTATTTAAGGATATAAATAAAGTTTTTTCAGTACCGTAATTACATTATTTTTTGGCGACCCGGAAGTTATTCTGTTCGCGTAGGCGCAAATGAGCTGATGGTACGGATCGTGCTACCGGTACGGATCGGGTAGCGACAGTGGGAAAAAAGTTTGCTGGCGAGCTGAAGGGAGGCAAGGCCAGGAGCTAGATGAAGGGTATCTTGAATGATGGTTGGCTTTGGAGGAGGTGCAACCCTGAAGTTGATTGGCTGAAGCTTTAACAAAATACGTTGTACGTGTTTCAAGTGAAGATGTTTACAGCCTTTCAGATTGAATTTTCTCTTAAGCTTCCTCACCTCTGTTTTGACTGCATTCTGAAGCAGAAAGTTAATCAGGTCATCCAGGTTTTATGTCTTAAAGACATGCTTGTGGTCTGTGCAATGGGTTAGTTTAATCAGGATTTATGAACAGATATAACTGAGTATCATAAGCATAACAGTATAAGTTAACCCCATGCTGTCTGATAATTCTACCAAATGGAAACATATTATTTATATATTAAAGAGATTGGCCACAGAACTGATCCTTGTAGTTCTCCACAGGTAAACCGAGAACCCAGGAAAGATTTATCATTAACATGAACAAACTGATATCTGTAAGAAATATAAGATTTAAACCAACCTGGCTCTACTCACTTAATTCCTACAGAACATTCAAGCCTTTCTAGAAGAATATTAACATTGATTGTTTGAAATTCAGCACTGAGATCTAAAAGGAAGTGTAAAGACACAAGTCCTTTATCTAAGAGCATGAAAATGTCATTAGTGACTTTAACAAGTGCTGTTTTAAATTAAAAACCTAGGTGAAACTGTTCAAAAAGTCCATTGTGGTGTAAGTGCTCCCACTTGTTTAGCAACTATTTTCTAAAGAATTTCAGATGAGAAAGTAAGATTAGATATAGGTCTATGTCTGACCAAGTCATCTGGGTTTCTTATATAGAGCTTAATTAACAGCTACCATAAAAGCCTGCAGTACATATCGCTATAATATAGGGGATTATTCTTATCTAAAACGGAGGTGGAAATTAGAGGGAATGCCTCCTTAAATAACTTAGCTGGAACTGGATTGAACTTATACAAATTGAAGGCTTAACACAGGTTTTTCATATGTAAAAGAAAAACAAACAGCAAGGTGTTTTTATTTTAGTTTTTTATTTTACTTATTTCAGTGGCTTTATTGCAATTACAGTGATGAAATAATTTCCTCTACTTAAAAAAAATAAATAAATAAAAAATCAATGGAGCTTGGTGCTTGTCAAATCCCCCTGAAATATTTTCCCAGAAACTATTGCTCTAAATGCTGACCTGAACCAGCTGTAAAAGAAAGCATATATAAATGGATTAAGCATTGAATTAGACAGGGTAAGCCAGTTAAGAGTTTCGTACACGGGCACAGAAACACCACCCAATAGCTGGAAAGAAAAACAAAGAAAGAATGGAAACCAACACATTAGAAATACTCCCATAACTATAGCCAGAGTTTTTGTGGCCTTCCTCTCTGTTTTGCTGGCAGATTCTCCTGACTTTCTTGTGCTCTCAATGCTGCAAGCTTGCTTTTGTGCAACAAGAAATATTCTCAGGTAGATGTACAGCATTATGATCACCGGTAGATAAAATGAGAAAACAGGGGCTAGAATCTTTTCAAGGACAAGATCAAAAAAACAATTAACTTCACACTTTTCCTGGTTTAGCTCTGCAATTACAAACCCGATGGCAATGACCACAGAAACTCCCCAGCTCATAACGATCATGGCTAGAACTACGCTGTTGTTTATCTTTGTTCTGTACATCAGAGGTTGACACACCGCGTAGTATCGGTCTACAGAAATACAGCTTAAATTAAATATCGAGGTTGTGCTCAGTATTACATCAAAGCTGTCACGTATTTTGCAGAATAAGCTTCTGTAATGCAGACAGTAGCTGAGGGAAAAAGAAACACTTAGCGGAAAGACTACAACCCCAACAAGGAGGTCAGTCACAGCCAGAGAGACAATCAGGTAGTTAGATGGTGTGTGGAGCTGCTTAAAGTAAATGATTGAGATTATTACAAGGAGGTTTCCAAGTACTGTAATAACAGATAGTAAGCCAAGAAAAATGTAGAGAGAAGTGCAAATTGTAGAAGAAGTTCTTCTTAGTGTTTTAGAGACATTGTTAATTTCATAGCAAGGATGGAAGTCAGAACCAACATAAAAACCAGTTTCTTCTTCCATGGCTATCAGAGGTGGGTAGGGTATCAAAAAATACACTACCTCAACATGTTTTTACTCAAATAAATCTTTAAAGTAGCCTTTGCAGAAATTACTAATTTTGTACTCACAACCCATTATCATAAAACTTCTTAATATTTAACAATATGGTGTAAAAAGTAAAAAAAAAAAAAATAATTTATTCATGCAAATTTGGGTGTTTTAAAGAATAAGATAAAAATAAAAATAAATTATTAAAAAATAGGTTAAATGAACCTTCTTCAGAGACCTTTTTTTAATTTACAATATCAATAGTTATAGTCTGTAATAATAGATTAAATAACAGTATATTGTTTACTGTATTTTCACCTGAAAATTAAATGCAGACTTAGCAGATGGAATATATTATTTAACCAATAAGCCTTGAGTACAAAAAAG